AATTTTATGGGGGATGTTAAAGTTGATTACTTAGACACCAGTTAGGATCCTACGGTTCCCTCGTTCCAGTACCATTATTTTTTATTGGATTAATTTAGTCCAAATAAACTTACTAAACTCAATTTAATGAGTTTCATACTTTCATTTAGACCGTGGGAAGCCTCGTTAGCAACCATAGGTTACCTCCTCCGAATCCTATAGAGACGACTTAATTTAGTTTCAACTGTTGTTTTGTATGATATTTGTGATTAAATTTTGAGTTGTCTTATATTTTGAATGTTGTGGCGGTGAATTTTATCTTGATTGATTTTAGTTTTGGTTTTTGAGCAGGGTGACACCGTTGTTTAACATGCAAAGTTTATAAGCATGAAAGTCAATGTGGAAAGTTTAGAAAAAAGACGGTACTGTAAACTGTAAAGCGTATTTGACGAGTCTTCTCGTTTCACCACTTGAAACTCAAAAATGCATGTAAGGGAATTTTATATGAAGTGAGAAAAATAAAGTTATGGTGATCTACCAATTCCTAAATCATATCTTGGTGGGTCACTATTTGGTTAATTAAAGATGATTTTCTTAAGCAAAATATATTATGTTTAGCAGACCTCCGAGGTATCCAACAAAACTGGAGAAAGAAGCAAGACCATGCTTCCCTCTCACTGCCTGGTGAATTGAAAAGCCTCAAGATCATTTAAACTTATTACGTTGCTTAATAATTCATCCTGTAAATATCTCCAATTCTCAATGAACATTGATGTTTCAATTATCCCTATGAGTAGGGTAATTGTCATTTATCACTCAATTTGAAATTTATGTGGGTGAAGACCCTTAAAAGGGGCAAGTTAGTGTTATTAAAACATTTAGTCAATTTTAGTTTTAGCTTGGGCTTGTAGTGTTTCGAAGTTGTTCAACTTTTTATTTACATTCACTTTTCTAATCCTCATTTAACCAAATTTGATTTAGCTTATCACTACTAAGCCCTTAAGGTCCTAGTGAATGTCTTAATCATTTTGAAGGAGATTTCTAAATGATAAAAATTCATCATCAAGACTTTTGAATGTTATTTGAACATCCAAAATGGGGTTATTAAATTAATGAGTTTTTAACACCTAACACCATACCCCTAAGTCTAGGATCATTTAATTTGATAGACTTCCAAATTTTAATGATTTAAGGAAATTACACATTTATCCTTCAACTAGAGAAAAGTGAGATTGATTTCTATCAATTAATCCCTTATATTTCAATCATCCAAATATGTTAATTAAAATCAAAGGTTGCCCATTTCTCTTTCTTGAGATAAGCCTAAATGTTAATTAAGACTAAATTTCAAAAATTACACTTTTGCCCCTAAGGCTCTATCACTTCATAATTTATTAAATTTATTTCAAATGGCTTTTGGAATAAATTTCTTTAATAAGAGTAAAATTATTACTGATTCTAATATTTTGGTAGAGAAATTTTACATCATCACCTCCTTTAGATAACATTTATCACTTTGTTTTAACCATTTATTGTTATAAGGAAAGGAATTTTTGAGCTTATCACTGAGTAAAGAGGCTTGATTGAGTAGGTCATTGCTAAGAATTTTGATATTCAAATTATTCAATATAATATCATGTTGATCCTTTAATTCATTAATAAAATTAGAAAAGTAATTGGAGTTTCAATTCCAATGCTTAAAACTATCCTTGACATTTTTCAATTTATTGCAAAGAGAAAATGAAGGATCACCTTTAACTAGAACATTCCAAGCATCATGAATAATTTCATATAAATTAGGACACCTAATCCAATAGTTTCTATACAAAAATTTATGATTCAAATCATAAGAAGATTCTAAAGATATATAAATATGAGAACTATTGGAAGTGAAATTATTCAATACTTTGAAATTAAAATAAAAAAAATCCACCCAAGCAGAATTACAAGAAGCTCTATTAAGAAGACATCTTATATATTTATCAATTTAATTGTTATACTTACAAAAAATATGACGAATATTCTGCAACTAAAAAATATTAGGATTGAGAAGGAAATTTTTAAAATCAGTTAGCATTGAAGGAATAGGAGGATGACCACCTACCTTTTCACAAACTCTAAGAACACAATTAAAATCACCCAACACAAGCCAGTGATCATTAATACTATTATCAAGATAAACAATAGAAATCCAAAGATCCTTTCTAACAAAAGCATGGTTATCAATATAAATAAAAGTAATAAAAAACTTAATAGAAGAAGAGAAAGGAACATAGCCATGACTGTATTGATATTTGATTTCTAAAACAATAAAAGAAAGAATCTCAACATTCCATTTAATCCAAATATGACAATTTTCTTGAATGTCAAAATTATTCACACTTCCCTCATTATTGAAAAGTCTAAACTTATTAATATAAAAAACATCATATATATATGAAAAAGAAAACATAGTTTCAATAAGGATAATTAAATGAGAATGATTCTAAAAAAACAATCATTTTACAATCAGCAACACATATATCATTACCAAACATACGAACATTTCAAGTTAAAATATTAGGATAAAACATAAAATCCAATAAGAAGGTAAAAAGAAACATAAGAGAAAACAAATGCATAGAATTAACCATTCTGGCTTTACCTTTTTTAGCACTAGAAGTAGAAGGCAACGAGACAAAAACATCATTTAGAGCACAATTAAGCATGTTAGGAAAAAAATCTCCAGTCATATCATTATGAGTAATTCAATAATAAAATTCTGAGCATTAACAATGCTATCACTAATATTAGAATTATTAATAGAATTTCCTATCATAATAGTTGTGCTACCCACACCAGTCTCAGTATTAACAAAAATTGAAACAGTGCTATCATTAGCATTAGTATCAAGTAAAACATGAGATGAAACCAAGTTAACATGATCACTAATTAAAACAGCTTCCAATGTCAATTTTTCTTGATTTATCTCAATATTATTGGAAGGATTAAGTAGAGATAAAACAAAGCTTTCAAGATTAACAATAGCATTAGGAACATCATTTGATTCAATAGGATGAGCAACAACATTACCGTCATTATCAATGCTATTAGATTAAGCTTTAGCAAAAATATTTAAATTTGAAGTAGTAAAAATATTATGGACAGTAGAAACCCTAACAGGAAAAGGAGGTCTACTCTTCTTTGAAATCCTTAATTACTAAGATTTCTATTGTTACTTGTTCCATTATAAATATGAGCAATAATATTAGGCTAATTAATCACAATCTTAGAAGAAGGTTGAGGATCACGAGTAAATTTACACCATGTCTTATAGGGAGATGATTTCCATTTATAAATGACATGAATTTAAAATCCTGTCCTTTAATATTCAAAGGAATGAAATCAGGAAGTGAGGAATTAACATTTATTTAAATGTTAACTTTGACCAAAGAAAGGCTAAAAAATTTAGATGTTAAATTATCAATAGCTACATGAATCCATTTGTGACCCAAAAAAATGGGCAAATGCATTAAATTGAAAAGAAAAAAAAAGAGTTTTCTAAGAGAAGAAAATAAAGGAATATTAAATCTAAGAATAAAAACTACTAAATAACCCTAAAAATCTTCTCCTCAAGATAAGGAAAAGGAAATAAATGGAAGATAAAATGAAACTTAGAAGCGAACAAAGATAAATAAATGATTCAAAACCATAAAGCATTAAAACAAATAAGAGAAAGGATTCAAAACCATAAAGCATTAAAACAAATAAGAGAAAGGATTCAAAACCATAAAGCATTAAAACAAATAAGAGGAAGAAACTTTCCCGAGCAAAGGAAGCGACTCCTCCAAATGAAACCCTAAAATTGTCCTTAGAGTTGATTCTTATTCATCAGACACAGCTAGGAACAAAAAATGTTCATATTAATTATAAAAATAAATAATTATTTTAATAAATTATAAGCTGCTCATGATCAATTCTTTTATTAATATTATTTAACTTTTATCGCATCCAATGGGTAGCCAATCTATCAGGCCTTTTTGGCCCTGCCCCAGCCCGCTAATTTAGGAGCCCAAATTTATCGCCGGTGACCTTCGATACAACGATACGTACTGGTGACGCGATCTATTTCTACCTCGGCCAAAAATATCTCCATGACCAATTGCACTTTTTAGCGCTTTTGCTTTTCCGCTTTCATCGTTGGATACTCTTCTCTGCTTTTCTCTTCCCAGTCCAATGGGAGACGAGCTCGGCTCTTCAGACGCTCTTCCTTCTCCGCCGCCTGCAGGGGAATGACCGCCGCGGTCTTCTACTCCGCAGGATAACGGAGGAAGGAGGATTTGCTTTTGTTAAATCCGCTGAGCTTGCGGCCGCCGGCGATCTTAGATCGGCGGAGGCAGCGCGGGAGATGGCTTGGGAACAGTTACACTCGGGTCCATGGAATGAAGTGGTGCCTACATGGCGAGACGCCTATGCGATGGCCAGTCTTCTTGTGGCGGACATCCGGTCCAGCGCTGGCGACCTGAAGGAAGCGCTCCGGGTGCTTGATATGGGACTTATCATGGGCGGCCCGTTACTCCGCCAAGAACTCGAAGTTGCCGTGCGGAAGATCGCAATGATGTCCGCACCTAACGAGGTGGAGTGTTCCAGGAAAAGCAACGGATGGGGGATGGAGAGCAGGAGCTGGGACTTAGATGAGGTGAATTGAATCCGTATTTTCTAGTTCCTGTAACTCTGCCTTATAAGGATGCTTATTTATTGCCTTTCAGAATGTTGACCTTTTGTGGTGGGGTCACTCCAGGGTTGACTAGGTTAGATAGTTTTTCAGAAGCCGTATGACAAATTTATTTTTCGTGGAATTGAAGTTTTCGTAGGTTGTGTCGTCTTTGCTAAATTTTTTCCTTATTTTTGGCCTTGTGGATTTTATTCAGTTTACTGCGAGTTTTATGTACGCCTGAGTGATATTGGCAGGAGTATCTTTGTATTTTACTAATCTAAATTGGTTTTTTAATTCTACGGAATTTAATTTTGCTTCATTTTGGAGGATTACATGGGTCGCTTGAACTTCTTATTATTCCAGCTTTGATTGAATGCGACAGTACGATATATGGTTTAGGCTTAAACCGTAATGCTTTATAAGAATCCTAGCTATTACAATCTCGCTTTGTCATATTTTTCCAATGCATCTCAAAGGTCAATACTTTTGATCTTAGTTGTTCTTTCTCCTTTAACCATGTTAAGAACTTTTGAAGGGCAACTATGAGGTTCCAAGAAAAAATTAAAAGCTCAAATATGTTAGGTTAGTAATAAAACTTTGAAAAAAATCCAAATGGAGATGTACAAACAAATGCGTAGAAGTTCTCAAAATAGTAGAAACAAATTTTCATGATCTTATGAGCTTGACATATGAGCATGACCACACAAAAATTCAATATTCTATTAAGCATTAAAAGAGTTATATGGAGAGAAATTGTACTTTATATGAATAATGTCAAATATACCACTTTGTCTATATTACAAATCAAGAAGCACAACCACCTATTGTGAATATGAGAGCTGAAGTTGGAGAATAAGAAAATTTTCCTACTTTTCTATCTTGATTTTTTTATTGTAAGAGCTTCTCCGTCTCTTTCTTTATTTGCTTTAGATTTTCGGATGCCTGAATATAATGCAACTATCTCTTAATTTAGTACTTGGATATGATATATAAGAAGTGTGTATTTAATTAAGCTTCAGTTTGATACCAACCAACTTGGAAAATTAAATGTGAATTAAGTAATGCATTCACTATCTCGGAACATCAAGTGTGAATAAATCCATAGTTGGTAGCCACCAATTTTAATGACATCGAAATCAATTTTTAGCCAGTATATTCTATGAAATTAAACTTTACACTTAATAATCCGAATGCTACAAATATCAAAATATAGCATAATGGGAATAAAATATTAAAACATCGAGATTTTTAAAATCAGTTTGCAATTAATTTGGCATGAAGAGCACAAATTATGACTAGTTCTAGATGACATGCATATTTTTGAGAATTTTGTAGCTTTCACTTTTCCTCATTTCTACTTAGCTCATTATGCTTCTTCATAGGTGCGCCAAATTCTGCCTAGCAGATCATTGACATGCAAGGTTGTTGAGAAACAACCTTCACCTTCATTGGAGGCTTTTGTTCGTGATTACTTTCTGCGCAGCTGTCCAGTTATAATTAGTAATTACATTGATCATTGGCCTGCTCTGAAAAAGTGGAGGGATGTTGACTATCTGAAACGTATTGCAGGTGATCGAACTGTTCCTGTTGAGGTGAATATCCTTTCCTTTTAAATCTTTACCCGATGCGATAAACTTATAAGAAGTGATGACAGATGTCATGGATAATTATTTATGATTTTATTCTTAAAGTTTAACACCACATTTTCTGCATTGAGAAATTTAGAGTAGGATTATTATCAAGTTTTGTTGTAGCTTTAGCGTGCTTATACAATTATCATATCAATTTATGATGTTGTGCATCATTAATCATATAGTCTGATGTACTTGATGAAAGAATAAATGAGTAATCTTCCTTTAGGGAACTTCTATACCATGAATTCGTAGCATATGGAAGGGAAGCCCCTAAAGACATTTTTTTATTGCAAAAAATTGATGATTTTAGGTGTTGTTGACTAACCCAACATATAGACTGTATTTAGGTTTAAAAGATGTATGTATTGTTGCCAATAACAACAAATATCATCATGCCAATATTTGTATTCACCATTTGTGCTTTCTTGCTCGCCCCTATTCCTGTAGAGATCTATGCTTTAAATTTCGTTTACCTAATTGAAAATTTGTTTTTAGCAACGCTTTTTTATTGGGGCTTTTACATACATAGCATCCAAAACTTTCATATTTACCTCTCACACTAAAACATTCATAATTATAAACACATATATGAAGTAGCACTCATTATCACTTTTTAATAGTCAAATCTATTTTTCATCCAAAGGTAAAGTTCTATGTGTGTAAAAATGAAGCTTTAGTTGTGAGCTATGTAAATCCATAATAATTGGGTGCTATGTATGTAATTTTCCCTTTTTTATTTTCTTATTCAATATAATTCGAACCATTGCTTTATTGATTCTTCTTGTACTTTTGTATTTTTTTTCCTTTTTTTTTCTTACATGCCTAAAACTCTTTAATCTATTTGTGATTTTTTTTACCCTTGAATTTAGAAATTTCACAATTGTTTTTTACACTTCCTCTAACATCATTTTATAAGCACCAGTAGTAATTAGTTAATATTCTTTTTATTTATATGCATTGTATTTGAAGGAATACTTGTAAATGCAAGCTACTTTTAAAGCACTGATTATACCTTTTAGAAATGAAATTTCTGCAATTCAGTCTTGCTTTCATGATTTACCATAAATTGCCCTATGAAATGAATTATTTCAAATGAAAGTATTCATGTGAGTTTTTAGAGATTTAAAGGATAAATATATTATATGTGAACTTTTAACAACTTATGATGTTTAGTTTCGTGTTTAGTTTAACAAACTTATAAAAATTTTTTCATTATGAATGTATTGAGTCTGTTGTAGCTTCCAAATGCTTGGTGTATTTTCGATGAGTTAGTTTACTAGTCAGTGGGAAGGTCAATGGCCATTATCTCAAAAAGTTGGCATAAATTCTGCCTTTTTTAGCTTAAATGAATCAGGTTTAATCCAAGATAAATGCTGATTATGATTCAGTAGGTTCTAATTAATGACTTGAACCTAAATCAAACTATTGGAGCCTTTGAACCTACTTCAAACCTGTTAATGTACAGCAGCCAGCCAACCTAGACCTACTCTAGTCCAACACATTGGCTGCCAAACTCTCTCCAGCTGCTGTTGATGGTCCAGCCAGTAGGCAGAGCTTATCTTAGCCCAGTTGCAACCCAAACCGACTCAAATAGGCGTCTGGTTGCCTCAATCTAGCACCCTCAACCAATTGAGCCTAAGTATATCACCACTGTCTAGGGTGTGCTTTGGTTCTTTCTAGCTCAGCAAGCCGGTGAGATACACTAAATGTTCTAAACCTAGCAGCTGAAGACTGTCCCAAACAGGCCCAACACCAGCTGCCTTAGGTAGCTCCACTCTCGCTCAACCTAGCTCCATTGACGGCTATGGCCACCTGGCATTTCTTTGTTGGAAGGAATACCCACCTCCAACCTACCACAACTGATCTTCACCCTGCTTTTGCCAAAAGCAATCTGAGGATTTGTTCTGAATAGGAGAAGTTAGACACTGGTATGAAGAATTTGAATTCCTCTTCCTCTATTGAGATCTCGAGATTTTAGAGAACTTCCAGCTCTTACCTATTCCCTTCTCTCCATTTAAAAGGAAAATGCCACCTCCCTGAGCCGAAGGAACCGTCGTCAGAACCACCTTGGATGATCACCCTCTTGTCGGCCAACCGCCCACGACAGACAAGTTGGAAGTCAACCAACCGGTCGGCCCTCTACGCTGGCCCTTCCAGTTAGCCGGCCTTTCTTGGCAGGCCACCATTCGTCGCGTACCTTGTTGGCCAGCCCCCTCCTATCAGCACACGCACTTTGTCAACCACCTCTTGGCCGGCTAGCGACTCCGACGAATATTGTAGACGGACTTCAGATCTAGGCGATGAAAAGACCGAAATATCCCCTGCTACTTTTATAAGGCGAGAGCATTTATGTAATCTCCTATTTCCCTCACTTTGTATTTCTGTAAATAAAGGACCCTTGACATATGTAAAAGGGTCCCTAGGCTTTCTCTTACAACCCATGTAGGGAGCATCTCCCCTTCTTCTCTCACTTGTAACATTTACTTTATGTGGAATAAAATTGGCCAAATAGTCCTTGGAACACCCTTCTTTGCTCCTTACGGCACAAATCTTTCTTTTTTTCTCTCTTACTCCTCTTTTCTTTGATTTCGTGCTCTATTCCTTAGGCACGATCCACTGGACAAATTTGGATTCAATATTGGTGCGGTGAGCGTGGACGTGCCTCCAACAAGAACAACACTCTGAACTGGAGAAAGCCCAAAAGAGAGACACACAAAAAAAAAAAAAAAGGAAAAAAAGACAAAAAATGAAGATATTAGAAGAAAAAAAAAAAAAAAGAAAATAAGGAAAAAAAGACAAAAAATGAAGATATTAGAAGAAAAAAACCAAAGAAAAAAATGATAAGACGAAAAAGACAAAAGGAAAAAGCAAGATAAAGAAGGAAGAAGAATCCCCTCACACTTCATGAGGGATAAGACCCTATATTGAGGAATAAAAAAGATAAGTATTTGCTTTCTTTAATTTTTTTTTAACAATCAGAAAGAAGAAAGATAAAAAAATAAAAAGATAAAATCTCTCCTCACTTAAATAATCCTCTAGGATGAGTACACAAGATCTCTCTTTATTTAAGTCTCTTTTTTAGGATAAACACACAAGATATCTCTTCATTAAAATCTCTCCTTTGGGATGAGTAAAAAAAATCTCCGCTCACACTCAACATTGGGAAACCTTCTATACCCATCTTAAAACTCGACTCAGAAAAAGCTATGAAAATGGTTCCTTGTCTGGAAGCGATAAGATCTGCAAATGGTATTACCCAATTCACTCCATTAGCAAGTCTCGCTAGTTACCTCCGCGAAGGAAGAGACAAGATCCATCCATGACTTGGCGAAATGCGAGTCTTATCGGAGCTGACGTTCCAACAAGGGCAAAAGAGACGGGTATGGAGTGAGGCTTAAATTGGACAATATTTCATATCTAAAAATTTAATGAAAACTTAACTGATTATATTTTCAAAAATTAACTCATTAAAAGTTAACAAAATGACTGCTCAAAAATTAAGTCTAGCTAGAGGTTCAAGAGATTGTATTTTCTGTGCTTGTGGGGTTTTTATTCTTATCGCAACTTCACTTTGAAGAATTAAGAAACTCTGGGGCTTTATGTATAAGAGGAAAATGCCACATCGCCGAGCCGAAGATCGAAACCACACTGGAAGACCACCTTTTGGCCAACCACCTGATACCCACGAATCCCACAGACAAGACTTTAGATTTGGGTGATGGAAGGAGCGAAATACCCGCTGGCGCTTTTATAAGGCGAGGGCATACATGTAGTCTCCTATTTCCCTCTTACTTCTACAAATAGAAGACTCTTGGCATGTGTAAAAGGGTCTCCAGGCTTTATCTCTCAACCCCCATGCTCCACTTCTTTCCTCACTTGTAACGTTTACTTTGTGTGGAATAAAAGTGGTCAAGGAGTTTGGGGAACACCTCTCTTCGCCCCGACAAATATTTCTCGATCTCTTCTTCTCTTTTTCTCTTCCTCTCGGATTTCACGCTCTATTCCTTAGGCACGGTCCACAGGACAAATCTGGATTCAATATTGCGAAATCCGAGGAAAAGAGAATGAGAGGAAGAGAAAGTGAGAGGGTCTTCCATTTATAAGTGTGAAAAGGAGGGAAGAGGGACATTACAATTATGCCCTGCATCATAAAGAGCTGCAGTGGGTACGTCGGTCTTTTCCTTGCCTGGATCCGTCATCCCAGATCTAGTCCATTTGCGGGGTTTGGCGGCATCGAGTGGCCGACCAGATGGAGGTGGCCAACCAAGAGGGTCGGCCGACTGGAGTTCGATGGCTAAGAGGGTCGGCCTACTGGAGGGGGCCCGCCAAGAGGGTCGGCCGGCTGGTGGTGGGCAACCAAGAATGGTCAGCCGACAGGAAGGGCCGGCCAGCTGGTGGTGGCTGTGGGTGTCTAGTAGACGGGAGGGTGGTCTTGTGGTGTGGTTCTGACGATGCTTCCTTCGGCTCTGCGAGATGAAAATTTTCTCTTATACATAAAACTCCTGAGTTTTAACTCTTTGAAGGTGAAGTTGTGATATGAATGAAAATCTCGTAAATACAAAAAATAGTCTCTTTAACCTCTACCTGGATTTAATTTTTGAACAGCTCTTTTGTTAGCTTTTAATTAGTCAATTTTTGAAAAGTTTTCCTTAGATTTTTAGATATAAAATTTTATCCAACTTAGGTGTCACTCCTTGTTCCTCTCTTTTGCTATTGCTGGAACTTCGCCTCCGACGGGTCTTATCTTTTATCAGATCTTTGGCGGATCATGTTGATGCCTTCACGAGGGTAACCACAGCTTGCTAATGGGGTGATATGCCCCGTACTCTTTGCGTATCTTGTCGCTTCTGAGCATGGAACTACCCTCCGGAGCTTTTTATGAGTCGAGTTTCAAAATGGGTTCAAGAGGTTTCCCAAGGTTGAGTGTGAGGGGAGATTTTATTTGCTCACCCCGGAGG